CCAGGGCTACCCCTCCAGTCGTTCAGAAGGCTTGCTGCAGGAGTGTCAGAGAGGAACAGGAAGAAAACCTTGGCCTCGAAACACCTGTCATTACCCTGGAGCTGGAGCTGGCCCAGCCGCACCACACCCCCGTGGCGTGCATTCATTTCACAGACCAAAGTTCTGTGGCTCAGGGAAGCCATGTGAGTCACAGCTCTGCTACAGAGGGTGCCTTAGAAAAGATGTCCCAGACAGCCAGGATTGCCACAGTGTTCCCACCAGAGGGCACCCTAGCCTGGCATCAGAAGGTACACAGTGCCACCACCTAGGAAAGCCCTTTTCCTATAAGAAGCCCTCCTACATTGATCAGTGTGGAGTGTGGCTTTCCTGGCTCTTCCCTGCCTGGAGTTTTCTCACTTTCCCAGGGGCTTCCCTACATGTGTTCAGCACTTGGCAGTGCACCCCTCCCTGGGCAGCCCACTGCCACCACCCCAGATGTTAACTTCCTCATCTCATGAACCAGTCTCCCCTCCTCCAGTCCACTATATGCCTTCACAGCTTTGGCTCCCAAAAGCTCCACTTTCAAGATGCATCTCCCCAGGCACCAAAGGCTCCGGGGAAGACATCTGAAGACTCCTGAGCCTGATTTCAGGCAGGCCCCAGCAAAGCTCTCTAACTCATCCACTATGGTGCCTCCAACTTCCTTCCGCTCATATAATACCACAATCAATAGCCTGTTCTTTGCATAAGGACTGCTTTCATATGTGGGGTTGGATTTCTCATGCCTGAATTCACTGAATAACTCCACGCTGCTTTCCAGAATGTCAACACCACCCCACGTTCCTAACCACAGCGCCTGAGGGTTCCCATCCTCCCACCTCTCCACAACCACCTTTCTGATTCTTGCCATTCTGATGGTTCAAACACAGCTCATGGCCTGATCTGCTTCTTCCTAAGGACTGGGGTCAGTCAACATTTCTTCATATTCCTGTTAGCCATTTGGTCTTTCCCTTTGATGAACTGTCTATTGAGATCATTGGCCGCTTTCTACTGGATTTCCTGTCTTTTACTTATGGATTTGCAGGCATTCCTTATACATATAGGCATTTCTTACACACACACACACACACACATCTCCTCCCAGGCTATCAACTACCAATTAATTTTTTCTATACAGTCTTTCACTAAACTGGATTTTTTCATTTTCATGTGGTCATGTTGATCCATTTTTTACCTGTTGATTTTGACTTTAAAGGTTTGCTTAAGAAATCTCTCCCCACTCATAAATAAGGACATTCTCCGACGTAGTCTTCTGCTTGCTTTTTATCTTTATCCGTCCCAGACTTTAATTCATCTGAGGCCTCCCAGGGGACATGGTGTGAACTAGACTCCAGCTCTATGCTTTCCATATGGTGTGTCTATTTTTCACAAATCCCACCAGCGTTTGCTTGCTGCAGCCCTTGTGAAACACCATGGAAGGGGCCTATTGTGAGTGTCTGTGCTGCTCCATTAGTCTGTTTACTTACTGCTGCACACTTCGTTATTGCTATTTAATTTCGACACCTCTTTGCTTTCCTTTTTCATAACTGGCCTTGCTATAAATGAACTTTATTCTTTCAGAAAGCATTTTATCAAGTTCCTCAAAATAAATCCAGCTGGAATTTTTGTTGGGTTTGCATTGAATTTGCAAACTAATTTAGGGGAAATTTATATCTTTAAAACGCTAGGTCAAAGTATTGCTGAATGTGGTATAATTCCATTTAATCAGATTTTCTTGTTTTTTTTTCATTAAAGAGTTTTATATTGTTCTCCATAAAAACCTTGTGCATACTTTATAAAGTTATATTGTAAATACTTCATTGTTTTCATTGTATTTAATCTCTCTTAGGAACGGTATCTTATTATATATATATAATGGTATTTTATACTCCATCTCTCTCTCTCTCTTTCTCTCTCTCTCTCTATATATATATATGTATATATATATATACGTATGTGTATAGATAGAGAGAGAGGTTTGCTTAAGAAAACTCTCCCCACCCATAAGTAAGGACATTCTCCTACATAGTTTGAATTTGCAAACTAATTTAGGGGCAATTTATATCTTTAGAATGCTAGGTCAAAGTATTGCTGAATATGGTATAATTCCATTTAATCAGATTTTCTTTTTTTTTCATTATAGAGTTTTTTGGTTTTTTTTTTTTTTTTGAGATGGAGTTTCACTCTTGTTACCCAGGCTGGAGTGCAATGGCATGATCTCGGCTCACCACAACCTCCGCCTCCTGGGTTCAGGCAATTCTCCTGCCTCAGCCTCCTGAGTAGCCGGGATTACAGGCACGCGCCACCATGCCCAGCTCATTTTTGTATTTTTAGTAGAGACGGGGTTTCACCATGGTGACCAGGATGGTCTTGATCTCTTGACCTCGTGATCCACCCGCCTCAGCCTCCCAAAGTGCTGGGATTACAGGCTTGAACCCATTATAGAGTTTTATATTGTTCTCCATAAAAACCTTGTGCATACTTTATAAAATATATATATATTTATATCTCTATATAAAAACATATATATTATATATATTATTTATATATTATATATATTATTTATATTATTTATATATATATTATTTATATATATATTAGATAGATAGATAGATAGATAGATAGATAGATAGATAGAGATGGAGTTTCCATCTTGTCGCCCAGGCTGGAATGCAATGGTGCGATCTCAGCTCACTGCAACCTCCACCTCCTGAGTTCAAGTGATTCTCCTGCCTTAGCCTCCCGAGTTGCTAGAACTACAGAAGTGCCCAACTAATTTTTTGTATTTTTAATAGAGATGGGGTTTCACCATTTTTGACCAGCCTGGTCTTGAACTCCTGACCTCAAGTGATCTGCCCACCTCAGCCTCCCAAAGTGCTGGGATTTCAGGCAGGAGCCGGCCAGTATTAGAATCCTTTTTTTTTTCAGATGAAGAAACAAGGTTTACAGAGATTAGCTAACGCAACACACACACACACACACACACAGAGTGACCGAAATGAGAGCTGCAGCCCCACTTCCAAGACTCCCAGATCTTACAACTTCACTGCATGAGGCTCCTCATGGAAATGTCACTTCCACAGCCAGGTCAGCAACACACCTGTGGCCAGGCACACCTGGAGAAGAGCAGAACAGTCCCCTTTGACTCAATGATTTAACCTCCAGGAATTTGATTTAAGGAAATGAGTAGGCATGGGCCCAAAGGTGTATTTACTAATGTTCATCTCCGAGTTGTTTTTCAAAAATCCACTAAGAAGGGACAAAAAATGTGAAGGAACGTGGATATCAAGGCAAGAAAAAAAACGACAAAATTCAGAGCATCAGGGTGTCAGAAACCCAACAGACAGGCAGGCAGCCACTAGAAAAACACACAGGAAAAAGGCCAGGGGGTTGTACCCCAAGGGAGGTAGGCGGGGATCTGAGGACCAGATCAACAAGGCAAGCAGTCAGTCCTCCAGGCCAATTCAGGTCAGGCGTGAAGGGCAGACACAGAGCCCAGGCCCTGGCGACTGAAAGAGCCTGTGACTCTGCGGGACCCTTTATGGGCCCATGGTTAGAGGGGGAACCAATCACAGCCTGGAGCCCAGGAGGGAGGAGGCACCCTGGGGGTTTGGGTGCTGCTGTCTCTTTGTCAGCTTCCTGTCTAAGTCTCTTTTCATGGGGCTCCTGGTCTGCAGTTCTCTTTGTTCTGAGCCATTTACAAATAGATGCTCTAATTAAGGCTTTCTGAGGCCTCGATGATTGCCTTGTAAAACTGTTTTCTGCTTACCCAGGGGTGGCACTCTATATCTCACTAGCTGTGTACACTGTCCCTTTGCAAGGCCCTGCCAGCTGCCTGCAACCAAGACCCAGTCACCCTGGGTGTTTACCAGGCGAAGTGAGGTGTTTACCCCCACCAGGCACTCGCTCAGTCCTCCCAACCCCCAGCAAGCTGCGGATTGCCATTTATATTTCACAAGGAAGGACCCTGGGGAAAAACTCCCATGCCATGGCACAAAGCTAGTAGGAGGCACAGTTGGGCTTCAAATTGCATCTTTTTATCTCCAGGGTCCATGCTATCCTCAGCTCCAATCAGGGCAGGGGTGGGGATGGTCATGGCTCCCCCATCCCAAGGAGGTAATGTGTCTACACAGAGCCCCTCAGTGAAGGGGTTCAGCATGATCCCAAGCCTACTGGATTGAGATAGATGAGCCAGGTCAGAGCGCACTTTCCAGCATGGTGATGGGGAAATGCTTCACAGAGGGTTCACTGCCCTGCAGTCCTCAGCATTTCACCAAGAAGCAGATCCCCCATAATCACTGGATATGTGTGGGGAGCACTCCAGGTGCTCACTGGTTCCAGGCTGGGTGAAGAGCCTGGTCTTTCTTGGCTGTCTAGCAAATGTTTAACCCAACCACGACTGAACACAACAGCCAGCCCAGCCTCTCTCAAAGATGCTCCAAAAATCCCACTGGCCACTCAGCTGCGATCAGCCACACCCAGGCCCCCAGGAACCCCAAGGCTGTGCCCCGCAGTGTGTCTTTCACACCAGCATTCCCTAGCACACACACCCCCAGAGTCCCCACCCCAGACATAAGACTCTGGAAGCCTGTCCACAGGACCCTAGAGGAGGGGCTAGGAGAATCCTTTTTTTTGGATCCATGGCAGATGTCCAGCTCCCCAAGAGACTTCAAAACACCATCACCTGCCCTCCCTCAGGCCCACAGAAGATGGACCCCTCTTCCATCATCCCCAGATCCCCACTCTGGGATGTAACTGGCCCACTCACCCTGAGAGGGAATAGGAAGGGCAAAAGATGAGAGTCTCAGGAGGGTTATGTTAGCCCAGACTGGGTCAGTGTTGGGTTGTGGCCGGGTCAGGACACAGGTCCATCAGTGGGGTCCTCCTCATCCTCTCCTGACAAAGTCCAGAGACGTGCGTTGGGAAGGGTTTATGGGCTCAGGTCCTCGGGTTAGGGCAAGCCTCCTGGCTCTGTCCCACCTCCCGGTCTCTGGCCCAACATGATACTGACCAAAGCTCAGTACGACGAGATAGCCCAGTGCTTAGTGTCTATGCCGCCCACCAGGCAGAGCCTGAGGAAGTTGAAGCAGAGGTTCCCCAGTCAATCGCAGGCCTCTCTGCTGAGCATCTTCTCCCAGGAGTACCAGAAACACATCAAAAGAACGCATACCAAACATCATACTTCAGAAGCAATTAAAAGTTATTACCAGAGGTACCTGAATGGAATGGCAAAAAATGGAGCTGCCCCAGTGCTCCTGGACCTGGTCAATGAGGTGGACTATGCGCCCTCATTAATGGCTCAGCTTGTACTGGAGAGATTTCTACAGGAACATGAGGAAACTCCACACTGGAGAAATACTACTTCCAAAGGCAAAGGTGAATCCCCTTGGTCTTCATACAAGAAAAGAAAAAAGAAAAAAAGAGAAAAGAATAGAGCTACAGGAGGAGGTTCAAGCCTAAATTAATTCATGGTTCAAGCATCCATCAAAGCCATTGCCTGTCCTAACCCAAAGGAACAAGGGGCCAAAGTAAGTGAGCTTGGCTTTAGGAACAGCCACATGAGCTAGCACCCTTCTCTCACCCAATATGTCCTCTGAGGTGAGGGGGTGACCTCATTTAAGGACCCTGCTGACCTCCCTCACCTCCCATCGACACAGCACCTTCCCTCCTTCCTGATGAGTACATACACCCCAACACCCCATCATTGAGCTTCCCTGCTGGAAGCCTAAAGGACACCAATCAGCCTGGACATTGTAGGGACCTTCCCCCCACCTGTGGCCTCCTCCCTCTGGCCAAATGTTGGCTCCTCCATGTGCATGCTACCTCCAAGCACCCCAGGTCTCTGCAGGATTTCCAGAACCTAGCACAGTGGCTAGTGCCTAATTGGTGGGCACCAAATAAGTATTTCCTGAATGAATGAATACACATAGTCTAGTCTACAAATCAGAGCCAGCCTTTTTGCTGGCCACCTCTCAGCCCATACCACTCCACCCCAATCCTCCTCAAACCCAGGTACCCATTGTCCCCCATGAAGCCTTCCCTGCTCAGTCCCTGTTGCTCTGAGGCATTCCACACTCCCATCAGTGATGATGCCTGGAACTCTGAGGCATAGCTCGGGTTCTGTCCCAAACTCTCTGAATTAGTTTCTTCCATGTCCCAGATGGTGTCCCTAGATGGCACTAGGCACACCCAAAGTGCAAAGACCCTGCCCTCTCCTCACTCCCAAATCTACCCCCACTCCCATCCCTGACCAGGCTCTGTGCAGGAATGAGAGAGGAGAAGCCAATTTTGACAATGAGGAAAGGAACCTGCCTTTCAGATAAAGACAGGGAGGCTTACAGCAAGAGGTTGTCTGGGAGGCAGCCTGCTCCTTGGGACAGGCCACCGACTCCACCCCAGAGCCAGGCCAGGGGTCCATAGCCCAGCTCTGTCTGTTTCAGAACAGGGTTTAGAGAGCAGGCTTCACCCCAGGTCAATGCATCCATTCCCTCATTTGGAGAGTGGAATGCGACTGATGCTTTCAGGAGCCCCTCTCCCCGCTCCACAGCAGTGCCAATGGGAGGGGCAGCAGCAAGGAGGAAGCTTGTAAAGGGCTTTGAAGATGAAACAGGGCCCGTGGCCAGGGATTGTTGTTGATACAACCACACTGAAGAGGAAAGCAGGGGTCGAGCTTAAGAGGCCAGGGTGATGCCAAGCCAATAAAATTCAGCTATTGTCCCTTTGCTGCCTCTTTTAATGCCAGCTGCTCCTGGAACATAAAAGGGCCTGCCATCAGCCAGGGAGCACAGGCCCTTGGCTCCATCCTCTGCCATCTTCTCCACTGTTCAGACACCTCCTGACCTCCATCATGACCTGTGGCTTCAACTCCATGGGCTCTGGGTTCCGCCCGAGAAACTTCAGCTGCATCTCCGCCTGCGGGCCCCGGCCCGGCCGCTGCTGCATCACCGCCGCCCCCTACCGCGGCATCTCCTGCTACCGCGGCCTCACCGGGGGCTTCGGCAGCCACAGCGTGTGCGGGGGCTTCCGCGCCGGCTCCTGCGGACGCAGCTTCGGCTACCGCTCCGGGGGCGTGTGCGGACCCAGCCCCCCCTGCATCACCACCGTGTCGGTCAACGAGAGCCTCCTCACACCCCTCAACCTGGAGATCGACCCCAACGCGCAGTGCGTGAAGCAGGAGGAGAAGGAGCAGATCAAGTGCCTCAACAGCAGGTTCGCGGCCTTCATCGACAAGGTGGGTGTCCAGGATCACACCCTTCCTGAACCCCTACTCGTGGTCAGGACTCAGGCTGGGCACTGACAGGGAAGTCAAAAGCAAGAATTTGCCCACGGAAGTTCCCAGGCCAAAGGGAAAGGTAGTCATTCTTCTAGGACACAGACAGAAAGACAAAAATAGGACCAGGAGCTACCAGAATGTTGGGGGAGATTCACTGAAAACACATATACAGAATGAGGGGCAGAGTCTTCCATACTGAGTAATAATATTGCCCAGTGAGTGGGGGACAACTGTGTGGGCGCTCAGGGCATTTGAAGCCAAATAACTGCTTAAATGCCAAGGAGTTCTCTCCATCAAGCCAGGGCTGGTAAGTGTGGAACTGGAAGACCGTCCGAGGTGGGTCTCAGGGATGGCACAGAGCTCTTTCTATACCAGGCAGTGATTTGGCCACTGAGCAGGGGCCACAGTTTATCCAAGCCACTATGCCCGGGGCTCAGGATCCAGGGGTGAGCAAGACACATGGTCCCCATCCTCACGGGCCTTATGGGGAGGCAGGCAGTGCACAGTCTGGGTTCAGTTGAAACCATCTGTGAAGTCAGTTTCCAACTCAAGTCTGCAGCCACCTCCACCAAATCCAGGCAGTCACCACGTAGCAATGGTGTGAGGGACTGGGAAAAAAGGCTCTAACTAGAAGCATGTTCTGGGGTTGGAAAGAACCCTCCAGAGCCAACCTCAACAGAGAAGTCACACTAGAGAGATGCCCACCAGAAAGGACTGGGGAAAAAATCTGGAACTTCTAAAAGCACAAGAGAGCAAGGATAGCATAAGATAGGACTTACCAAGGACAGGGCCAAGTTATTAGACAAACGAAGCTGAGTGGGGTAGTGGGCCAACCTCATGGCTGGGAGAGAGATGTGAAATTTTCCTGCATTTGTCATAGTGAGAGAAGACTCCCCTGCAGAGCAGAAGATTAGAGTTTGAGCTCTTCTCTGCCATTGTGAGCTCTCAGTCAGTTGGGGGACCTCTTTGACCTCCAATTCCTCATCAGTAAAATGAGGGGATTGGAGCACAGGATATTCCTAGTCTCATATTCCAAGTGACTATTACTCCAATTGCATTGTTACTGTAGGGTTTGAATAATTGGCACATGCTTTATTTTTCAACTTTTACAGTCTGCCTTTCTAGAAAGGTCCACCTGGCTTGCTGTGATTGAACAGCAGTAGCTATTCAGTGTGGGGCTCCCTTCTGTTAAAGGGTTCTTTTAATCCTCATAGTGAGGTGAGCTTTAACCTCCCCACTCTGCAGAGGGGTGAGTGCTTTACCCAAGGGCACATTGTTAACAAGTGGTAGCAGAATCTGGACTCTTCCAGCATTTTCCATGACACCAGGTAAACTGACTTAGAAGAGATTAAAGTTAGCTCCCAGGAAGAACTTCCAGGTGGTGAACTGGTTAAGCCCTGATGGCATTTTGAGAGAGGAATGGGATAGGAGAGGGTCAGTTTTGACAATGAGAAAAGGAATTTGCCTTTGAGATAAAGACAGGAAGGCTTAGAGCAAGAGGTTGTCTGGGAGGCAGCCCGCTCCTTGGGACAGGCCAGTCTTCCCTACCAGGGAAGACTCTGGGTCAGAGAGTTGGGGGCCTTCAGGCCCTGGTGCTGGGAAGCCCTCTTGTCCTCTGACGCTGTAAGAAAAGATTCTTACGCTCTGCCTCTGGGTGGCAGGTGCGCTTCCTGGAGCAGCAGAACAAGCTTCTGGAGACCAAGCTGCAGTTCTTCCAGAACCGCGAGTGCTGCCAGAGCAATCTGGAGCCCCTGTTCCAGGGCTACATTGAGACTCTGCGGCGGGAGGCCGAGTGTGTGGAGGCCGACAGTGGGAGGCTGGCCTCAGAGCTCAACCACGTGCAGGAGGTGCTGGAGGGCTACAAGAAGAAGTGAGTGCGGGCAGGAGGGAAGCTGGGCACAGGAAAGAGCGTGGTGGCACCTCCCTGAGCCCTGGGGGAGTATCCAGTCTGCAGCTGCGATCTCTGCCTGAGAGTGGAGAAGAACCTGCATCCCCTGCACCCCCTGCTCAAGACACTGGAGTCCCTTGAGTGGGCCCTGGCCCTCTGTGGGATTGAGGCTCTACTTGTCTTTCCACCAGCAGATCAGGGAAACAATGCTCTCTCCCTTTCTCCATCCATCTTTCACAAAAACTCATATTCCCTGGTCCCTTTGAGACCAGATCTCAAAGTCATGAACATACTTCTTCCTGTTTGCTCCCTCGCTCAGCTAACACTATCTGATCACCTGCCACACGCCAGCACACTATGCTATGCTAGTGACGCAGGGCCACACAGTCCACACAGTGCAGGTCCTTGCAGAACCTGCAGTATGCTGGAAGGCAGACATGACATAGCCACAGATCTAGCCCTTCTGCTACAAAGTGTGACGTATGATATGGAGAACATGCACTGGGTCCTCAAAAGGAATCTCCTTTTGAGGAGTGGCCAGCTTCCTTCAGTGGCATTCTCTCCATGGACTCCCCAGGCCCGGCACACCGCTCCCTCCCTGTCTCTGAACTGCCTGCCACAGCTCAGGCTAGGAGGGGAGAGACAGAGTGAGGATCCCACCACCTGCAGCTGAGCGGGACTAGGGGAGGGCTCAAAGGAAGAGACAGTGGAGACCTGGCTGAGAAAAATGGCACCTCCCATTCCCCACCCACACACATTCACACACTCCCCTTCCTGATCCTGCCCTCCCAACCTCCACCAAAACGGAGGAGTGGGCACTTGGGTTCTCCAGTGCATCCCAGTAGGCCCGTGCCCGCAGCCTGTTTCCCCCAGAGCCCTGCCCATTTCCCTTGGGGGAGGAGATGAGCAGGGGGGAGGTCAAGGAAGGAGGCGCCTTTGCAAACATGCTCATGGCCAAGATCAAGAGCCGTTGACACGGTCCTGTTCTCCCTGCTCATCTCAGATATGAAGAAGAAGTTGCACTTCGCGCCACAGCAGAGAACGAGTTTGTGGCTCTAAAGAAGGTAAATGAAGCCCAGCTGGCCTTGAGCCCGCCCCAAGTCCCACCACCATCCTTTCTGCCCTGCCACACTGCAGCCAGGTCCTCAGAGCCCTCTGGGGAGAGCCAGCCTCACAACCCCTTCTACCCTTGCAGGACGTGGACTGCGCCTACCTCCGCAAGTCAGACTTGGAGGCCAACGTGGAGGCCCTGATCCAGGAGATCGACTTCCTGAGGCAGCTGTATGAGGAGGTGTGGGGCTCTCAGCCATGGCAGGCACAGATCCCCGCACAGAACGCCCACCCCGGCCCAGACACCCACGCGCATGGACCAGGCCTGCTGACATATGAACCCAGGCTTACAGCTGGAGGGTTGGCAGGGAGCAAGGAGAGGGAAGGAGCAGGGAGGCAGAGGAATGGAAAACCAATAAGGACAGATTTAGTAAGGGGCAGGAGAGTGAGGAGTGAGCACCCCAGACAGCTGTGCCTTAGGAACCTGCCCCGCGTCCTCCCCCTGAGCCAGCAGGCTGCAGCATAGGCCCCACACAGCATCAGACAGCCTCGAACCCATTGCACTGGCTCAGGACTTTCTCTGGCAGCAGCAACCTTCGTTCGTGGGGTTGGTCTAGGAGAATGGAAAGAGGCCCACACACAGCATCTGAGCCCCTTGAAAGCATCTGGATCATGCTGGCTGCACATGGCCCTGAATAATTACAAAAGCAAGCAGTTGAGAAGCGGTTGTGTTTCCTCTAAGGGGATTTCCTATTTGTGCAGAAAGTTAGCGATTTCATCAGGTCTGTTTCTCCGAATGAGAGAGCTTCGCTCCAGATGAGCCAAAAGGATGATAGTCATCCAGGGATTAGGGCAAGCCCAGATAAGTGAGTGTGTCCTTCCTCTTCCTTCTCCTGCAGGAGATCCGCATTCTCCAATCCCACATCTCAGACACCTCCGTGGTCGTCAAGCTGGACAACAGCCGGGACCTGAACATGGACTGCGTCGTTGCCGAGATCAAGGCTCAGTACGACGACATTGCCACCCGCAGCCGGGCAGAGGCCGAGTCCTGGTACCGCAGCAAGGTGAGTGGCACAGGACACCTGCCTCTTAGACATGGCAGTGTGAGGGATGCAAGGTATCTAGTAGAAAAGGCTTCTTTGTCTGGGGATTCTGATCCCTAAGGATGGTAAGAGAAAAGCCAATAGCTCTCAGGTTGAGGTGGCAGGGCAGGACTGCCATGTGTGGTTGCACAGGCCAAGCACTGCACAATCTGTGGGATCATCCGTGGTGTCCTGAATGGATGGGAGGTCCCACCCAGAGCCTCATGAGCATCTCTACTTCCCCAGTGCGAGGAAATGAAGGCCACGGTGATCAGGCATGGAGAGACCCTGCGCCGCACCAAGGAGGAGATCAACGAGCTGAACCGCATGATCCAGAGGCTGA